TCTCTCTCTCTCTCTCTCTCTCTCTCTCTCTCTCTCTCTCTCTCTCTCTCTCTCTCTCTCTCTGTGTGTGTGTGTGTGTGTGTGTGTGTGTGCAGTCATGATGTCCCCTCAAACCTGTCTGTCTCTCTACTGCTAAGTTATGGTGCAGTGCACCTCTGTGCTAATTATGCCTATCTAGTGCTCACTCTCTCTGTCTCCTCCATCCAGCACTAGATGCTCCAGAGCAGCACTCCAGCATCGAGCGTCACGAGGCAGAATGAACAATTCAGCTGTGTCAGACTTCTTCGTTGTCCTGTTGACCACCCGGGCTGGCCTGCCTCGCACTTGCCTCTTCGATTGACCCAGATTTCTTGATCGGTGTGGTGCAGATAAGTTGGCGGCTTGTATGTGCCTGGAACAAGTGGGCCTTGGCTGGAATTTGCACAGAGCCGAAGTGCGAGATCTGTGGCCGCGGTTGAATCCTAAGAAATCTTAGACTCTTTGACAACTGTGCCGAAGTAAGGCCTGACTGCTGACTATCTGAAGGTCTGATTTTGACTCTAGACGCACAGGATGCCTCGTTTTGACCTCTGATCCTGGACCTAACGACCCAGTGCCTGACCCTGGGCCCACCGACCCAGTGCCTGACCCTGGGCCCACCAACCTATTGACTCTCTAGTGCCTTTTCAGAGGCTGTGGATGTGACGCTTAGCCGCAGAACTTGACACAACCAAAATTTCAGAGGCTGGGCACGTGATTTGATTTTTGACCCCGGAACTTGTTGTATGCACGAGGCAGGCCCCTTGGGTCTGGTAGTAGGTTGGGGGTTGGGTAGGAGAAGAGGGCGTTCATCCATTCTTTCGGGTCTTGGCGTTGTTTTTCTTGCTTTTCTGGTTGCCTCGGTCCCTGTTCGGTCTTGTTCAGTGACTTTCCATTCAGTCCGAGTGTAGCTGCCAGCAGAGTGGGGCCGATACAGGTCCAGTGGCCGTTCCCTAGTCCAGATTCGTCATTAGTCGCTGTTCGGTCGACTTCCTTTCTGATCGAGTGTATCTGCCAGCAGAGTGGGACCGATACAGGTCCAGCGGTCGTTCCATAGGTCAGATTCACCATCAGCACCTTCACGTGCACCAGATTTCAGGCCTTCCCTTGTCCTGTAGTGCAGTTTGGGCGCCAGACTTTCCTTCAGTTTTGGCGCCGGATTCACCATCAGTTTTGGCGCCAGGTTCACGTTCAGTTTGGGCTGGGTGCCAGTCCTTGCTCCAAGAGCAGTAGGGCCAGCAGTATATATAGCTGGGCCAGCCTCATTTGCGGCATGCAGCTTTGTTCCTTTGGAGGTTGATGTTGCATACTCGTGAAACACAGTCATAAGTATGGCGCAGATTCCCAGAACCGACCAGATAATACAGAGTTTATACAAATGGAAGCGGAAGACTTGAGATACCTTTGACTGACTCAGACCTGACTCGGACTGCAATCGAACACTCTCAAACATTCATCAGGGGTGTGAATGCCCTGGCCTCAGACATAGGCGAAGGGCCAGGGACTGAGATCATCCACAGACGAAGGGGGAGAGGAGAGAGACGAAGAAGAGGAGAGGGAAGATGACGTCAACTCAATGTTTCCAAAGATAGTATCTTGAATTGTCAGAAGTGACGAAAATCCGAAATGTCGCGAATGTCAAGTCTCACAGTATCTCAGATATCGATCTCACAACATCAAGTACATCTTCAGAAGGAAGGTGAAATCAGATCCCAAATAGTCCTCAACTCGTAGTCCCAATGTCGCTGTCTCAGATGTCATCAGAACTCATAACCATCTCCCATACTCAAGTAGACCCGTAGGAGAAATAGAAGTAGACTGAGAAGGTAGGAGGGGGGAGAGAGAGAGAGAGAGAGAGAGAGAGAGAGAGAGAGAGAGAGAGAGGGAGAGGAGAGGAGAGGAGGGAGAGAAGGTGAAGCCTTCCTCCCTGGTACCTGGCTATGGCGCTGCAAAGGAGGCTGGGCCGATAACTGGCGAGGCGCCGAGGCGCCCAGTGCTGCGCTAATCCGCTCTCCGCTGAACCTTGCTCCCTCACTGCTCCTCGCTGCTGCAGYGCTGCGCTAATCGAGCTAACGCTGGCTGCTGCGCTAATCCTGAAGACTAACCCCGTCCATACTAACCTACCGGACTGAGGCTGGTACCCAGCCTTTTGTAGTGCTGGGCCGGCCTCTTGCCTACTGGTACCYACCGGYCTGGACCGTTGATCTGAATCGAYGGTCCAGATTCAAACTGGGTTTGGCGCCAAAATGTGGCAGCCTYTGAAACGCCGCCGGTTGGTCCTTGGCTGGTCCGGTACCGGCCTCTGGCCGTTCGGGCCTAAACGTGCCCTGCCTCAGGCCTATCTGGGCCTGGTCTGAACCGTCGTCCCCCTAGGCCTATCCTGCCTACTGGGAACCGGGCCCTAACTGGGGCCCGTGTGGCTCGGATGCCACACACTCCCCCCCTTGAAAGACCGAGCTAACTGCGAGGGCGAAGCTGTCTGTCCGATGTTCGTACAGGGCGGGCAGGTTGGGCAGCTTCCTTAGCAAGTCGCTGTTTTTCGTAATGTGCGAAGATGAGGGGTGTTGTCGCCTTCAGATCAGCTCTTGAAATCCAGCGTGTGTCGTTCGGATCGCGTTGCTTGAATGTAACTTTGTACTGCATCGGCTTGTTGCCATGCTTGCGATGCGTGAGAACGCGGTCGACCTCCTGATGACCATCCATGGAAGGAGGGTCATGTGACCGTCTGCCCGGGAAGTCCGCTGCGGAGGCTGGAGTGTAAATCGCCAGCTTTGAAGCATGAAAGATCGGGTGGACCGTCAAATGCAGGGGAATCTCAACGATGAACGATGGACCCGCGGGGTCGTCGCCAGCTGCTGAAGTGACCATCCATGGTCCAAACCACTTAGGGAGGAGCTTGCACGAGACGTCTTGCTCGAGCGCGAATTCCTCGGAGGCGACCCAAACTAGGTCGCCAGCGCGAATTGGACATGGGATGCGACGCCGGTTCGCTTGCTGCTGCATACGGACCTGAGCCTTTCGCATGTTTGCGCGGGCTTTGGCGAGCAGTTCCCTGTACTTCCGTGTAGAAGCGGGGGAGCAAGCGGCGTCTATATCGGCAGCTCGTGGAAGCAAAATGTCTGCGAAGATACGTCCTTTTCATCCACCGTGGTGCAACTCGAATGGAGTCACGCCAATCGCCGGGTGCACCGAAGTGTTGTAGGCGAACTCGATGTCGGGAAGGCGGTCAACCCAGTCCTTCTCATCCGGGCGGATGAGTGTGCGGAGTATCATCTGCGCAGTCTGGTGCGCACGTTCCGTTTGCCCATCCGTTTGAGGATGGCGTGCGGAGCTCGGTTTCATGTTGGTGCCGGATTCCACCATGAGTGTCGTCCAGAAGGCCGACATGAAACGAGTGTCGCGGTCGCTGACGATGTCTTCCAGAACGCCGTGGCTGCAAAACCAGCCGGTATGCAAACGTCATGCGAGCTCGGGAGCCGTCGCATGATACTTGCATGGAAGAAATCGCGCGTACTTGCTCAAACGGTACAACCGTGAGGATACCATCATGACCAAGGCGATCGCGAGGGAAAGGACTGGTCACATCCATAGCAATGGAGAGACCCGGTGCCCGAGGAATTGGCAATGGTTTCAGTTCGCCATAAGGGAGCTGATGGCGCCCTTTGTTCCGGTGGCAAACTGCAAATGACTGAAT